CTGACTGAGAAGGCTGGAGGTGCACAAGAAGCTGGGAGGGGGCACAGCCAGGACAGCTGACCCAAACTGGCCAAAGGGACATTCCATACCATGGGACGTCATGCTCAGCATATAAAGCTGGGGGAAGAAGAAGGAAGGGGGGGACGTTTGGAGTGATGGCGTTTGTCTTCCCAAGTCACCGTTAGGCGTGATGGAGCCCTGCTTTCCTGGAGATGGCTGAACACCTGCCTGCCCGATGGGAAGGAGTGAATGAATTCCTTGTTTTGCTTTGCTTGCGTGTGTGGCTTTTGCTTTCCCTATTAAAGTGTCTTTATCCCAACCCACGAGTTTTCTCACTTTTACCCTTCCGATTCTCTCCCCCATCCCACTGGGGGGGGAGTGAGCGAGCGGCTGTGTGGGGCTTAGTTGCCGGCTGAGGTTAAACCATGACAAATATTTTTATGGCTTTTAAGAGATCATAGTTTCTGCTTGATCATGGGGTGAAGCTCATCCAAACCCAACCTTTGGTAATGAAAAGGCCTTTCCTTCTCATCACTGCCTTAAACAGTTCAAAGACAGGACAACCTTTGCTGAAAAACTGAAAATCTGTCTCTTCCTGAAGCAGAGAGGTTCTTACTGCCACTGTGGACAGTAGGTGAAAGACACCTATGCCAGCATCCAGTGCTACTCAAGCAGTACCACATGCCCTGTTTCCCCTTGACAACAGGATAGCGAGCAATGCCAACAACTCAAAAAATTTAATTTCCCCTAAGAGGTGGGAGTTCCTAGAAGGATTATTGAAAACAATACTGTGAGAGATCTCAAGGAATCACCTAGTTCATCTCTCCTGTCCCAAGCAGAATTCAAATATATCCACGTCCTTCCTAGCAGATGTTTGCCTAAAAGCATGCAAAGATGGAGATTTTTACCCCTCTGGCAGGGCGTGCTGCCGCGGGGTGAACTTGGACAGATCTAGGTTTGCGTTTGGATTGTCACCTCTATCCCAATCACACCCATAAGCTCTTTGCATGGGAGCAGTAACTGCCTTTCCTAATGGACAGTCTCTTCCAAAGCCTTGACTGGAGCAGTGGGATACAAATAAGCAGCTGCCCCTCAACATCAGCGAAAAAGAGTCGGAAAGGAGGAAAACAATCATGCCTACCCCTCCTCTGCAGTCTCAGTGACCAGATGGACCTGCAAGATGCTAGGTGCATGCAGACTTCAGCTTTGTCCTTGCCATGCAGGATTTCCTCGCTGTTCTCCGTGACTTAACATCTAGGGGATACTCACACTGGCATTCAACTTACATCCCTAAATAGAAGTGCGAGTTTCTCTATAGTTAATAGCAAGCTGTAGTTTCCTCCCAAGAGTGACTCACAACACCTAAACTGGGAGCCTACACTTCTCCATGTGACTCTAGATGGCCTCTCAAGTTAGATGGTGTGAACATTACACGAGATGCATGGCTTCTCTCTTCCTCCCCCAGGCAAAGTAAATGCCCTCTTCTCTGTGACCCATCTAGCCAGAAGTTTTAATTAGCCAGACTCTTCTCCTGCCATGCTTGGAGTGCACAACTGGTGCAGAGTCTCATGCACAAACTCTCGGGGCTAGACACGTGAAGAAGAGGAAGCAGCATCAGAAAGATAAACCACAAGATAAGGTCTGGAGGATATGAGATCTGCTGGTCTGTAGCTTCAGAGCACCCAAAAGAAGAAACTTGCATGCAAAACTCAGTTTAAAAAAAAAAAAAAAAAAAAAATATTGCAGGCCAACACCTTGCTGCAAAAACTAGCCAACATCTCTTCCTCCAGAAGGTTCAGCTGGATAATTAGTCACAATTTAGAATTAGAAAATTCAGAAAAAAGTTTAAAACCACATGATATTTTAGAAAAGGTAATAAAAATAGTGGAATAGCAGTCTATCGGAAGTGGTTGTAAAATGTATGGGACATGAATGAGACATCCAGCCTCAGTATACATCCCACCGCTTTGGTGGGCCGCTCCCACTCAGGGCAAGCTTGGCTTCTCAGTATTTAAGTCCAAGTGTTTGAGAGACAGCACTGGATTCAAAAAAGTTGCTATGGAGAGGTCCTAGCGCTTCAGAAAACCCCAAGGATGGTGTGTTCCAGTCTGTCATTTGAAAAGTGCTGTAGGTCCCCAGCGCCAGGTCTGCAACCGGCAGGAGAACCCCAGCCCTGTCACCCCTGCGTCAAC